TACCTAGTTATGTAATAAAATTTTTTGTAATTTTTATAAATTTTGCTTTTGTTGTTATTCAGTAAGATTCAATAGTTATCAAGTGATTAAACCCTAGAAGAAGAGGAAAAAGTTCTACTAGAATTCCCAACTAACAATTCAACACAAATAAAGAATACAAAGGAAAACTACTCACAAGAAAGCAATATTAGAGTTAAAATCAAACCTTCTTTAATAGAGGACTTAATTGTACATCCATCTGTGTTCTATAAAGCAACCAATATCGATACCCTCATAAGAGAAATATGTCAGAACAAGAAGTACCAACACCTACTCCAAAAGACCACCAGGAACTAGTTAAGTATATACTAGTTAAAAAAGAGTGTGGTATTTGTGATTACGGACTGGAAGAACTCATAAAAAAGGAACTGCAAACAGATGCAAAATTATCTAATCAACTAAGTCACAAGAGATCTAAACAATATGAAGATATATACTACTCAGCTTGGGCCCCAGTAAACAAGATCTCGCATCCAAAAGTCTCTAATTCACCTACTTTTCTTTTCATGATTTGAGATCTTCCAAAAGATATAAAGGCATCAGTAATAAAGTCTTATTTAAATATCTTTGGTACAGCAACTGTTATAGCATAGTATCAGAATTTCAGAACGAAGGCAGCATGTATTAAAATGGTACCAAACTTAGAACAAAGAGAAAAATCTCTAAAAGAAAGATGGTCAATTCATTTAAAACAAGGCAAAACATACAGAACCACACTAGACAAGTTCAATATTGCGAAAATAGAAACAAGAAACAACTACAAAGGCACTATTTCAAATATTCCAACATCAGCATATGACAGCCTTCTCTTACAACAGCTTAAAAAGTATAGAGTTCAAGCAATTCATATCCTCTATAACCGAAATAGAAATCAAAGGAAAAGAGCTCATCTATATTTCAAATTAGAGGAGGATCTCTTATTAGCCCAAAGCTGCATCTTATACTACTTCAATACCAGACTCAGATAG